ACTACAACTACCACCACCACTACCACTACCACTACCACTACCACTACCACTACCACTACCACTACCACTACCACTACCACTACCACTACCACTACCACCACCACTACCACTACCACTACCACTACCACTAGCAAGTCTGCTGAATTCTGGGCCAAGGCTCCGCTGTCTGGTGGCTCACCGACTCCACGGCGGAGTCCTGCGAGTCCAGGGATCCGCCTCTCGGAAAGACGGAGCCGGAGCCTCGACTCAGGGGTTGTTTTGGAGGCTTCCTTGGGTAGCTTTTAGTGGGGCTCTAGGGCTCCGTTAAGAGGGTTCTTAGAGGGTTTCGGGTTTGGGGGTTATAGTTTAAGGTTATATGTAGGGCAGCCGTACTTATAACCCATATCAGGGGCCTTATAACCCCACTTGCAACTACCAGTGAACCTCCAAGTGGGGCCTGAGGCTAGAGGTTTCGGGGTTTTACGGAGTTTAGGAGCACAGGGTTCCTAGGCCATTTGCATTTGGGGATTGGGGGCTCTTTCCGGTTTTGCACGGCTTGGGCTTCAGGTTGAGGCTTTGGATTTCGGAATCTAGCGCTATGCCACTATGCGCTGATAGGCTTGAGGAACTTTAGGAAGACTTGCAGCTTCGTCTTACGGGCTGGTGTGCCACAAGCTGGTACGACTTTGGAGTTCATGACGGTTTGGGGGTTCCAGGCGTACAACGCAGGGAGACACACCCCCACACAGACAAGCCCTAACCCAAGGCTGAGTGCCGACCAGGAAGCCGTTGCTCTTGACCTCCACATGTCCGTGAAGCATGCTTCTGATGCCGACAAGTATTCACAAGCAAACACACGCTGAGATGCTGAGAATTGCTGAGGCCGGTGCCTTGACTGCATCGCTTCCATTTGTGAGCCACTCTCTTTCCATGTGCTTTGCTACAAGCTGGGAGGGCAGCAGGGCTAAGTGGCTGAGTGGGCTTGTCGGACTGAACGGCTTGGGGCTCGAGGGCTTCCATGTGGGTCTCTGAAGTGGGGGCATGCAAGCATGCAAGTCTCATATGGCTATGACTCTATCCATGTGGTCAAACTGCAAAATATGCTGCGCGAATGTGAGCACAAAATCAACACGCACGGGAGATCTTGGCGTTTCTCATGCTGCTACGAACTGAGGAAGAACGCACTCCATCGCGTCCTAGCGACTATTAACAGTATGTCTACCAGGGGCGAGCCCAAATGTATAGTTCCCAGCATAACGTTCTCTACAATCAAGGGCCCGCCTGCATCACACCTTGCTCGACCAACCATGCTTGGAGGGAGTTCACAGAGGCCTTGGCCACTGAAAACAGGAAGCTACAACGTCGCTCGCCAGCCAGCATGCTGAGGAGAGCTCGTCACCACGGTATTTTCCTTTGATCACGCCCTCGTTGATCAGGGCCAGGGTGGGAATACCCTGCACCACAGAAGCACATCTTGGCAAGTGGGGAACGGAAGGACCCGCACGCAAAAATCGTCTTGGTATGCCTTATTGAACGGCGTTCGCATTTTGAACTTCGCCGGTGTGTTCGCACTGAGAGGTAGCAGTTGTTAATGCACACTAGGGACAAGAGGAGTAATATTAACCATGACAATATATCAAAACTGATAGTGATGACGAGTAAGGGAGAAAGCAGCAACACTTTCATGACAGTCAAACACTGCACTGTGAGTTAAGAACAACGACATGAGACTACTCGCAGCTTTGATAGCAGCAGCAGTAACACCTCTCGCTCTTCATTGCATGTCAACGACACTCAACACGAGGGCAGCTCGTGCGAGAACGCACGAGGCTGCTGCCAAGAAACATCTATTCACGCAGATCGACTGTGGTCTTTCAGCAGATTTGTCCTGCCTTGACATTGGCTTTCTCGCAGATAGGCTTACTCACAGTGCAGTCAACCTGGCAGGCTCGCAGCAAGCATAATTATGCAAGCATTAAAGGCAACCAGGGTGTCATACCGAGCCCAGGACGTCCGCAACTTTCACCGGCCATGCCTTGGCAGCCTGGGACAGGGTCAGGATTGGAAATGAAACTCGTCGGCTGCGGCATCTGCACTCGATCCTAGCCCCAGAACACCCAAACCAACGAGACCAATCCCAAACAAGACTAATCCCAATCCCCATGTAAGCGGGGAAGGGGGCGAGCTGGATGTAGGGGTGGTTTATGGTGGTACAATTTCTATGGAGAACCCCTTTTGTTAAGCCTCTGCTACTCTAAATAACTAACGACACATGTCAGGAACGAGTCTGGAAAATGACTGCAATCTGGACTGCAACCCTGCGACCCGCGACACCGGAGTGCGCCGCTGCACAAACTCACTCACGTGTAGAGTGTAGATCAATATCAACTGCAACTATTGAAGCCCCAGCTCACACAGCACTACGAATGACCTGGCATCCCGAGTCACAGCAGCCATGCTGAGTTTCACACAGCCTGATCAGCGAACTTCTCCCAAATGGGTGCTAGCCTGCGCGGCTTGGAAGTCGTGAATAAAATGATACTAGTACTGATGATGCCTATGGTGATACTGGTCTACTTCATATATTATGATGACACGAAGTCATGATGGCCATGACCATCACCAACCAGCACTGCCAGCACCGCAACCCGCGTCATTGGTTCTCCGACCACCACTACCACCAACGCCGACACCACCGCCACGGCGGCCAGCACCAAAACACCCAACCAACCCCAGTGACTAGTGACTAGCCGACTTTACCATGTCGTCAGTGCGTACCGAAGAGAGAACCGAAGTACAGGAATCATCAAGACCAGGACATGACATTACGAAGGCCCCACAACATGGGTTGTCAGGGTCTGAATTCTCCAGGACAAAAATTGGCGCAGTCGCAACAGCAGAGCTGCTACATGCAAGATTGAGCTTGTGGATTGTAATGTTTCAGGGTCTAGGACGGGCTTATGCGAGATTATCCATCACGCACAAGCTATGGTGGTAGAACCCACTCTGCGAGCAGCCCTCAAGCTGCCACACGTGCGCACCTCTGACAGTGAGTGCACCAAGGCCTCAGAAGGCACAGCTAGAGACGGCCTGCGGAATGCGATCCATGCTTTGGAATCTGAGACTGGTGCGCGTAAAACTTCACAAACCAAACGCCGTTCTTCACGTTGTGGTCAAAGTTGAACTTGTTGAGTTTAACAATGTTGTCCTGAGCTGAACTGAGCCGGACAGGAAGATCCCCAGAGCAGTGAGTTGAAGGGTCCCGTCCTTGTCTGCCTGCACATAATTGGCCTCAGTCTGCCCGCCACGATGGGTGCTCTCCCAGTCCCCCACTTCTTTAAGGGCCCGGGCCAGGAGTACTGCAATACTGAACCAAAGACACCGCAAGGTCATGGCTCCTCGAAGAGCCAGAATCCAGAATCCAGAAAGGCTCCCTGCTCTCCGTCCTGTGGCTCGGCTCGGTGCCCAGTGCGGACGCCGGGAGCACCGCGAGCACTGCACTTGAGCCACTGCGAGTCAGAGACTTCAAGATAAGTACTCCCCTATGCCTCTCACTGGCCTAAAGGCGTCAACGCACGGAATCCGGAAGAAGCAGGGCTATGCATGAGCACACGAGAAGCTTTGTAATCACACAGATGCCTCCCTGCCCGTGCAGGGACTGCTGTACAGCAGTTCGGGGGAGTCCAGCTCCCAGGTTCCCAGGCTCGAGGGAGCCGTCAGTGAGAGTAACGAGTCACGCGCTTCGCAGCGGGCTTAGTCGCCGCGCGTTCGAGAGTTCTTGCGAGGATTGTTCTGGCCTCTCAGAGAGCAGGAAAGCACAACAGCCCTTGTCTAAGTTCGCCACATCGAGCTCCTGGCATTGGTGGAAAAGCGATCGAGATCACTCGAAGTTGTGGTCGTCCATAAGTACCTGTACGATGTACAAGTGCGGCCGTCCGTTGACTCATTGAAAATGTAAATGAAAAAAACTCTGCTTGGAACTCTGTTTCGTGCCGTTTCACTTGTGACTACAGGCAGGCTTCTGGTTCTGTGCTCAAGCCCTTAAACCTTCTTACAGCGTTGTCCTACTTGACTTTGAAGGAAAACCTGGATTTGTCACTCCGTGTGCACCACTCGGTTTAATCTCTGCTGTTCGCGCTAGGTCTCGAAGTAAGGGCTTTCACTCGCCTGCAGCTTGCCACTCTGCAGGCTTAGCAAAGGGTTGGGTACCAGAGATTGTGGCTTGCCACTCGGTATCCGCGAAGGGTCCACAGGTCAAATCGAAGATGTCTGTGGGCTTCGACCGCTATGCTGTGCATGCATACACTGCATGTTGGCGATCCGGGATCCTTAGGCTAAGTTGGGCGGTCGATGATATCACGGGGCACAGCCGGCCGAACCATCTGGCGGCCGATATGACCAATCCAAGACTCCTGCTGGACTGCAGTTGTGCGAGCAGCGCAGTTGAAAGGAAACTCCCGCGAAGTCTGATTCACCTTGCATAGAACTAAATTGCTCCGACCCAGCAGCCGTGGACGCAGCCCCCAACAAACATGAGCAACTACCGGAGAGTATGTAAAGATGCAGGCATGGGCGGATCAGCTACATAGCTACAGACCAGAGGACCAGAGCAGCCCATGTTTTGTAAATGAGTGCGCGACACCAAAAACATCTGTCGGATCAGCCAGCTCACCCGTAAGGAAACAGCTCGGAATTGATGGGAACTCCGGGCCTTGTCTGATGAAGAGTCTGCAATCAAGTAGAAGACCTTGCGTGTTCAGTGTTCAGCAACTGAGTTCCAACTCAGGTGGTATGCTCCATCACAGCGTAGCCTACATGCAACAGTCAGAAGATTTCCTCACTGCTTGTGCTTTCCAAGGTGCACGTGCAGGTGTGTCCACGCGGAAAGAATTCTCCTTTCCAGTATCCTCCACAGGCAGATGTCGTAATTGCATTCGGTGCACAAGGTGTTCGAGGCCATTGCAACAAAACACACACACACATGCGCCTTGGACACACCTTCCACTTCTACCTACTCCTAGGCAGCGGGCCTCATCTGCTGATTTGACAGTCGAACACTCCGCCAACCTCTTCGAGAGGTGAGCAGATCCAGAAACAAAATGAACCTGCTGAGCCAGCAAGGGCCTTATGTGCTCGGTGGGATTCCTGTACTCACCTCAGCACACTTCACACAGCAACTCTTCCCAGAATCGATGCAGCCTCTGAGGCCCAGACCCTGAGACTTAAAGCTGCAGAGATACTGCGGCGTCAAGACAAACCAGCGCCTCAAGCTCACAGAGCTCACAGTCTCAGCGTGCTCAGATCTCCCTAAACCTTTGCCTTCTCCATTCCTTCATGTGCTTGGACCTCGGCAACACAGGGAAAAGGGGCAAAGGCGGGAGCGTGGCAGACCTTCTGAGGCCGCAGCTGCTTAACAAGAAAGCCTTCTTTGATGATGTCGTCCCTGTGAATCACAATTTCCTGAGTGCTACATGTGTACAACCCAGAGCAGCAAGACTGAGAAGCTTGCAGCCGGGCATCAGTTCCCGCCATCTCCCCGGCACACAAAACCAATGCTCCGTGTCCCACAAACTTGAGTCAAAATCCCAACTGCGGCAGCGAAGAGGACAGAGTGCCAAACCGAAGTTGGGAAGGTCTGCTCTTGGCCGAGCTTGCTCGATCTTGCGGCTGCTTTTGACCGCTTGGATGATATTGAAAACGATGCATCTGCAATCGGAAAAATCGTCGGCCCGTCGGCTGATGGTTGGTGAAACCCTTTGCTAACAACTGGAGCATCTCGAAGACTGGTTGGAAAATGTGCCTTCGGCTCCTCAAGAGTCCAAATACATGAGCTCGTGAACTTCTAGCCAACGAGGCAACGACCAGATTTAGGTCACCCGATCTGTGACGCAGTGCCACGCTCAAGAAGGGGCCACAAATGGCTCAAAAGGCCTGGGATCGAATGACAAGCCCGGATGCCACTGCCGGTCCCTGTCAAGAAATCTTGATTTTCGAAGGTGCAGGGATGTGCGCTTCTAATCGGCAGCTCGATGCTGAGCCTCACTCTTACATCTGTGCCGCTTCCACTGGTGAATGAGAGGTGTTCACAACAAACTGTGCCTCCGAATCTATGGCAGTAACAACACGGTGAGAAGCAGAAAGCCAAAGAAGGCAGGGAACTGGAAGTACATGAAAAAGAAGAACGACAGCTTGCAAGTCTAAGTGGTGTCGCAGTCCTCAAAATCTCCCGACCAGGCCTGGGGGTTGAATGCCGCTGAAAAAATGCCCCGAGTCCCCATTCCTCCTTGGGGTAAACCCGGAACCAAAGCAGGTGGTCGTTGAAGCGCTGTGACAAATGGCCTCAGATCATAGCACAAGACCGTTCCTGGATCTCCCTTTCAGCATCATCTTCCGAGTGGCATGAAGGCCAGTCCGAGAGCGGACCCTGCACAGACCAGAGCTCCATGTCTGCACCTGGAGCAAACCGCGCTCGCCTTCGCTTCTGACTAGGACTTCAGCCTCCGCTGGCCTCCACAGGAGCTTTGCCAGACCCTTTGCTTGACGTGGCAATACTTGCCACTCTCAACGCCTCCGGTGAACACACAAACACCTGTCAAATAGGGCAACGAGGCGTCCGTGTGCGAGTCTGCAGCACCTGGAAGGTCTCGCTGACAGGCCAGTTCCGTGCAGCCTTTGCCCAACCACTCCATGTCCTCCGTCGGATTGTCGGCATACCTGCAACTCCCAATCCGCACGCCAATCACCTCCTAAGCACGCGGCAATGCAAAGAGACCGGAAGGGGCCTGTCCGTGTTGGTTTGGTACGCCCTCATGGGGAGGTGCAGCAGGCGTTGGCTCACCTTGAAAGGCTGCACTCTACCAGAACACGTCTCTGTCCGGACTTGAAGAGGCCACCGGGTGGCCTTGGGATGCGGCATAGGCGAGCTCATGGGCCAGGAGTTCTCAGGCCATGCACACCTCGACATGTCTCGGCACGGGCTTGTGGCGGGGCATTGTCCAAACTCCGACCGAACCTCCCCGCGATTGGAGCGACAGCTGCCAGGAACTCGCCGTATCGGATGGCCAGGTCCCAGACGCCGGCGGCACCCATGGAAATACCGGTCGCGTAAAGCCTCGCCTTCAATGGGCTACAAAACTCAACAAAAAGATTGGGCTGTTGCCTCCGGCGACTGCTCAAAAGCCAAAGAACAAAGTTGACGCGATCGGCTCCGAGTCTTCTCAACACCTCCGTGAAAACCTCCCATACCACCTCAGTCGCGTCATGGCCGACCTCTTGTCTGGCAGCCACTCACAGCTTCAATGAAGGGCTCGAGTGCTGACAGCTACATTCGGAGAAGCGACCGGACCATTCCACTCCGGCTTGCGTCGCCAACAAACGAGTCCACTCTCGTAGGTAGGATCTGGAATCACGACATAGCACTGCGAGCGGATGACCTTGGCGGACGTTTACATCTACCAAGTTTGGAGAGGCTTGCTGGAGTTGCTGAATCTGAGAGCAGCAGTAACTGACAACAAAGCAGACAAAGGAATCAGGGCTGGACGGGATCTTGTATCAATTGACCAGCACAATCTGCGAGAAGATCTTGTTTGCCACCAACATGGCCATCACCAAGCAACAGCAGAACTACAGACGCACGTCGGCAGGCGTCTGCTGGAGGAATGAGGATGCATCTGGCATTCTGGCCGTCGGGATAGTCTCCCGGTCGACATCGATGCTCCCACCAGCTCTCCTCCAACTGCGACCTCGATTCGTGCGGGTTCCGAGCCCATGGACAAGCAAGATATGAGAATCATCTCAAACATGTGCGGCGGCACCGGTTCGCTGCTGCAATGTGTTCACAACCTTGGAATGAACTTGATGTCAGAAATCTACACACAAAGCTCGTCAAACCATCAAGCAAATTTCAAAACCTTTTCACGACCGCTTTGTGAGTCATTCGAGGTACCTGGCTTACTGCAAGGACTGTCGTCATCGGCCGCCCAAACAGACGCCTTGTCGACCGGACGCTCATGCTTCCGGCTGAAGAAAATGCCCATGGTCTTCGAACATCGAGTGGGTCCCGGGGTTTTCTACAACTGCCTCTGAAGCCTAGCAGATGTGGATGCTGCGTACCTGTACTGAAACGACAAAGCCCATGCATTCGTATCTGGAATAAAAAGCTCGAAGTGCCTGAACAAACGACGCTGTCTGCATTGTTTCTAACATGAACAAGCCTGTAGCCGAGCTGGCATCGGAATCGTGCTATGTCCTGCCCTGTTCTGAATGCCAAATGCAAAACACCGCGAACACGAAGCTTTTCTAAGCTGAATCTGCAAATCCAAACGGCCGTCACCTCCAAGCATGTCCGTTCGCCGCTTGGTGTAGCTCTCTTTCACAGTCACTGGGAGTTGCTTTGGTGTGCACGACGTCTGAGTAAGGGGTCTATGTGGGGTGCCTGGATGTGGCGCCCACAGCACACCCGGGCTTGCGTAGCCTGGAGCATTGCCAACGTAGCCGACGTTTCACCTTGTACGGCGGGCTTTGTTTAGATGTTCGTTTGTACGTTTGTACGGACCGAGGAGTGCAACTGCGCTGCCCCAGAAGTCGACCTACGCGACGAAAAACCTCTCAAAACTTGACGTGAAGCTCCGTTGATCGACAAAGACGCCGAAGACTTTCAGATTGTTGTTTTTATGTTCTTGGTTTGGTTGTTGTTTGGTTGCTGTTGTTGTTGGTTTGTCTGGGTTTTTGGCTTTGGTTGGTTTTGGCAAAAAATTGTGGTACTGATTAGTTGGTTTGCTTTTTCTGAGAAGATGTTGCACATAAAGCACGGTAAATGCGCACCCCCAGGGACCCACATTTTGCAGACGTACATTCATAGTGTAATACAATGACACATTATTTTTCATCTTGTTATAACATGTTATATCATATCGTACGTTTATGCTTCGTATTATGTTATATAGCATTGTATGGCGTTCTGTAGAAGTCTTGTCTAATTCTACTTCATTCTGTCCAATCTTATTCTATTATATTGTAGTATATTATGCCAGATGTACAAAACTTTATTAGAACCAGACTGTTCTACCATTGTATCTCTAGCCACAAACTGCAATACGCTCGTTTCGCAAAGTGTTCCGTGATTTACACAACGAAACTTCGCTGAAAGCAGACTCTCCTTGTCTTGGCGGGAACAACGCACAGCGATCCAAAAGGTAGCCCTCCGAAAAAAAGCTGAGCCGAAGGATGCTGTGAGTGTATGCAACCAACACTCCTTGTAACAGTAAACGGAATGTCTTCAAACTTTCGAGTGCACACAGAGCAGCAAACTACACTGACATGAAGACAACATTGACATCATCACAGAAGACACTGTCCAGGATTCCGAAGAATCTGAAAGCAGCGTAGCACTGCACAAACGCGGCAGCACAGGGCTGCTTTTGACATGCCAAGTGGTTTGAGCCGCCTTGTGGCTCGAGATATTCCACAAAGATTTGTCACCATGGTAAAATCGGAGCCAGAAAAAACAATGTTGAGAGAAAAACAAGAACTATGACAGTCCCAAACATTGCATCTCCACCACAAACTACAAAACACATTTCGCAACCTGTTCCGCATGCACAACGAAACTTCGAAAGCAGACTGTCCGTGGAGGTGCGCCTGCCTTAAGGATCGCAAAAAGTTTTTTGCCACACCTACAAATGAGCATTGGACCCTCTTCAGCTCGAGCAAGGTCAGTTGCGACCTTGGTAACCTTGGTGTGCCACCGCAAAGAGTTAAGCCCCAGGTGAGAGAGCAGCAGCGGTTGCGGCTTCGTTCATGTTGCAAAGCTCTTTGCCAATAGCAGGGGTTTGGTGCAGCGTTGCATCGATTCTGAACATTCCAAGCCGCAGAGAGCCGTTGAAAGAATGAGCCTTCGACCCTGAAAGCAACACTTTGATGAACGACAGCGGGTGGTGTTGTTGAAACCGCCAACAAACTGAACTGCTCAAGAAGAGTGAATGGGCACATTGAGTTGGAACTGGGGGCCTGCAGGGCTACCGATTTTCGCATTGGTTTTACAACATGAAAATCATTAAGACTCCTAGGGCTTTTGGGTCTCTTGATTTAGGGCAGAGTTCGCGGTCAAACAAGATTGATTGCGCGCGAACCTCGCACATCGGAGAGAGTGGAGACTCCAAATCCCTTCATTCAACTCGTTCAGGTTCCAGATCGCCTCGTGTGGTCTGTCTGGTCGGTGATGCGGCGGGTTACTTGAATTGGTGCAACTTCTAGGATCTTGAGAATGCCGTCCAAGTGGCGTTCAAAGCATGTGGATCGGGAGGGTTCTTCGGGGATGAGCTGCTCCCGCTCTTGGCTCCACCTGAGCTAGAGCCATTGGCCAGAAGCATCGTTTGTTCAGGGTTCAATTCATCCTGGGTTCTTTCAACTTCTTGTTGGCTGCAACCAATGTTCATCCCGCACCCAGATGCATTGGCCGTCTCGTGCTTCTGCAGAAGACGGCTCATGTGATCTACTTGATGCAGCAACTCCTGAACCAGGGTCTAGTCTAGTCCGAGGCTGCGCCAATCCTGAATCACTGATGTTGGATCCGAAGCCCTCGTAAGATTGGTCCTCGTTCGAGCTTCGAAGGGCTAGCTCGTTAGGAATATACTCAATAAACAACAATGCACTCAAGCAAGATCCTAATCAGCTTCAGAATGCAATCACTCGGTCTGGATTTTTCCAGTCTGGGCATCAATGAATCGATGCGTCTTGAGCCCAATGTCTTGAGCCTTGAGCCAACAGTATGTTGGTGCGAAGCAATTGGGCTTGCCAATGATCAAGCAAATGACCATGCTTTCTAACACGGTCCCTTGATTGTTGACAATCTTTGTCAACAATCACATCTGTATAATCAATCATGAGTAAATCACAACAATACTGTCAACGGTGTTGTTCACGATCAATCAAACAATCCAACTGCCAAGCAAAAGTTCGAGAATGAAATCAATTCATTTCTGTAAAAAGGTGGCCTCTCTCTGGGGAGGGTGTTCCAGCGCTCCACTCTATGATAGCTTCAGGCCTAACTTCGAGACATAGGTCA